ACACGGCAGCCAATTCGCACACAGCAATGTCCCACAAATAGCCATGAAGTGAAGTACAAATTACAACAATGGAAGACACCACTCAAGCCAGTGAGCGATTGATCACAACCCAGTCACCTCCCGTGTTCCATACTAAAATTGGGGGGAGGGGGAGCCACTCATTTTTGGACTGACAGCTCCACAAATAATTTTATTTGTGAATGGCACACACTTTTCTACTTTCATATGCAGCATTAGGTTATAATTTCAAGCTGAATCGGAAACAGAATTAATTTCACTGGTAAAAAATGCTCTCATAAAGCATGCAAACGTATACAATGCTTTTGGCAACATTGTGTTGATATTTTTGTGGCTTAAAACATTAATATTTTTATTCATTTTTCCAGATTAATCAAATACACTGGAACCAGTCCAATATAATAGAACCATCAAATGAATATCCACTATCATTTCCATCCCTCATTTTAGTCCCTAGCATCTCAACATTTGTAGTTACACAGTACAGAATGGATTGGAGTTTGGCTGATTTTGAGGTACTCTAGCCCCGGATTTAGTTATTAAAAAAAATCTGTGTTGGGCCCTCAGCCCACTTGGGGGCATTTTGTATTGCTCCAGCAATATATCAGCTAGTTTCCAATAGCAACATCTTGAGTCACATGCTGCACTGCAAGTCAGGCACAAAGCAGGGTTCTGAAATTCCATAATTCCAAAGGCACTGAAGCTAATCTTGGAAAATCGCAAAAAAAAACATTTCCCTTTGGCAACATTTTGTTGATAATTTCATGGCTCGAAACATTAATATTTTTCTTTACTTCTCCAGATTAATCAAATACACACCAACCAGTCCAATATAAGAGAATCATTGAATGAACATCCAGTATCATTTCCAGCAAATAAATTAATTAGATTCTAGCTTCTTTGGGAATTCACCTGAAGCTTATTTCTGAAGCTGAACCTGCTGGACAGATTTCCCTTTAATGTGCAAAAGGGCCGAACGTTTCTGTTAAAATCGTATAATTTAGCTCATTCATACAACAGTAAATCATGAATAAACTTGTTCATTGCTTAGATTGCAGTTTAGGTTCACAGGGCATAGAGTTGCAAAAAAGAAATTCAGTTTGCTTAACCTGTTATGCTCCTTTACTATTACTATAATAATCCTTACATTTGATATAGCGCCTTATCACAGCTTTGAGATGTTTTGAAGCGCTTCACAGAATATACTGTAAAGTGAATGGACTGTATATTTTGTGGGCGATACTTATATCTATAAGGATTGCTGGCAAACGTTCTACAGTAAATGTAATGTCTATTTTCTAAACCCTTTTCTTATGATGAGCTTTGTGTACTAGTTCTAGAAATACCCTCTTGACTTTTGAGATCAAGGATGCATTCAATACATTAGACAAACCTGCTTGTGAGGCAGTGGATCTGTCAGGCAAGTGCTGGGTTTCTTTTTCTGCTTCTGAAAAACCTGATGCTTTAGCATCTCTTGATAGCTTTTGTATATGTTTACTCCCCAGAGGTTTTCTAGCCACCAATCCCTGATGTAGTTGAAGGAGAGTGCAGGAAATTGTTCTGAAAATATTCTTCACTGTGACATAAAGTAGATATTGGTGTCTGTCCTTTCTCCCCCTCATTGGCCATAAAGGCCTACAACAGGCTCTAGATCCCATGAATGGAGCAAGCTGAGTGAGGAATTTAACCTTTCTATGGGCCAGGTAGCAGTATTTTTCACAGGGCTAAGGCAGGAAGTATATTGCTTGCATTTTGGAGTTTAGTGAGCGATACATAAAAATTCTTTGGTGCGATAGTTAAAAATTCCTTTTTTTAAAAAAAGAATTAATTCAAATCCAGCTTTCATTTTAGATGTTCTCTTAGATTTTCTTTTGTCTTTGAGTCGCAGGACTGGGCAAGTCTTGACAACTTTTGATCAGAGATGTACAGATGTACAGGTGATTTATTCTCTTCCTCCCTGTGGAATTTGAGAATGCCCAAGATTGGGAGCTATTAGTTTTGTATTATTATATTGTAGATATTAGGCAGCATTATAGCACTATCAGAGCAGTGACCACTTAACCCCACAATACAAATCCAATTTTGAAAATGTCTGCCCATGCCAATTTACTTCACTTACAATCATGCGAATTGGTTTCTGCTTAATCAAAGCCCTACCTCCTGCAGTTGTATTGACTAATTTCCATGTATTGTAGATTGGCGTATCACTTTTCCATGGATAATAATTCCTTCAAAAAAATATATTGGTCACTCAATCCATGAGTGTTTGTGAGACACTGCTGTGAGCAATGGGTTGCCGTGTTTCGCTCACAAAACGTGCAGTCAATTCACTTTACAGTATATTTTGTGAAGCACTTTGAGAAGTCTCGAAGACGTGATAAGGCGCTATATCAAATACAAGGATTATTATTATTATACTATATTATATAGTGCAACACAACTCTTACCTGTGGATACATGGAATATGCACGGGTCACCCAGATTGAGAAGAGCATTACTGCATCAGCTATGGCAGCTTTTCAGACCTAATGTAAACAAGAGGCAGCATGCATTTATTTACAAACATTGAAAGTTTAACTCTTTTCAACTTCAAAATCGAATACCTTAAAATTGCAACTTTTCTGTAAACCCTGAGCAGCAAGGCATTCTTCATCACATTGGAAGTATCTCCTTTAATCGCCCTATTTTGCATGGATACCTTTAAGTGTGGGAGGGAGACTTCAAAAAGCATTCCAAGTGTCTCCCGGTGCTTCTTTTCCCCCAAAAAAGCTTATGCAGGTGTTAAAAAGTGCCATGAGATGAGATCAAAATGTTGGCCACAATCAAGAATACATTCCAGACATTATTTTGACCATTGATAGTTATTGGGTAGATTTTATGCTCTTTAAGGGGGATATTGGATGGGCCGAAAGGCATTTCTGTGTTGTTAATATGTTGCTCTGCTGTTCGCACATGACTACTACTTGCATCCATGACAACTTCAGCATAAAAAGCATATAGCAAACAATAATTGTGCAATAGTCAACGGCAGCTTTTCATAAGAAAGTTGAATGAAACAATATTTAAATGCAATGCACAACAGGACAAATTATTGCAGCACAAAAAGACAAATAGCAAACTAAGAGGGTTGACAGCTTTTTTCTGTGTGTGTGTGGGGGGGGAGGGGGATACCAATATCAAAACTTGTACCTGAATAAAGTAGAAATTTGGCACATCTGTCATTTGAACAGTGATATAGTTACCTGCTTGTTGGCCTTATGTATACATAGTGAGTCGTGCAGCCCATTTTTCAAATCATAAAAATAAATGTATACTATTATTAGTGTTAAGAACAAAAACAACTTCACTTATATAGCGCCCTCCATGCAGGGTAGCGTCTCAGAGTGCTTAACAGTGGCGGAGCCTGACTACGAGCCGGGGGGGGAAGTGGTCGTAAGCACAGTTGAAGAGGAACATTTTCAGGCGAGACTTGAAGAAGGGGAGGGGGCAAGTTGGAGGGATTGAGGTAGAGTGTTCTCGAGTTTTGGGGTATAGCGGCTGAAAGCGGGACCTCCGATGGTGGGGTAGAAGGTGCGAGGGATGAGCCGGAGGCTGGTGCCAGTTGAGCGGAGGCGCCGAGTGGTTGATTGGGGAATGAGGAGGTCGGAGAGGTAGGGAGGTGCCAGAGAGTGAAGGGATTTGATCACGAGTGTAAGGATCTTGAAGTCGATCTGTTCGATGATGGAGCCTGGCCAGAACTGATGAGATTTTGGTCTGGGTAAGTATGCGGGCGGCAGAGATCTGAATGAGCTGGATATTTTGAATAGTGAAGCTGGGGAGACCAACGAGGAGTGCGTTTGAGTAATCCAGGCGGGCAGTGACAAACGCATGCACGAAGGTTTCGGTTGCATTTAGGGTAAGGTATGGTTAGAGGTGGGCAATGTGGAGGAGGTGGAGGAAGGCGGTCCTGGTCAAGATCTGGATGTGGAGGAGGAAGGACAGCTGGGGGTCAAACTGGAAGCCTAGATTGCGCACTAGTGCGGTGAGTGTGAGGGAGAGCCCAGGGAGATTGAGTTCAGATCCACAGGTGTGAAGACGTTGACTGAAGCCAAGAGTATGGCTTCCGTCTTGTCCACATTCAGCTGCAGGAAGTTTACACTCCTCCAAGCCCTGATGTCTGCCGGACAAACTGATAGAACATCGGTGGACCTGGAGTTGGTACTGGAGGAAGCAAAGTAGATTTGTGTGTCATCCACATACATGTGGAAGTTTACCCCGTGTCTGCGGATGACATTGCCCAGAGGGAGCATATAGATAAGGAAAAGAAGAGGGCCAAGGATGGAGCCCTGGGGTACCCCGCAGGTGACCGGGCGGGGGTGGGAGAAGAAACCATTTGCTGAACAAAATGGAGGCAATTGGTTAAGCAGGACTCGAACCATCTGAGTGTGGTCTCACTGAGATGGATGAAGGAGGAGAGGTGGTGGAGGAGAATGGTGTGGTCAACTCGAACGCAGCAGAGAGATCCAGGAGAACGAGGAGTCAGAGGGAGGGAGCCCTGGTCAACAACTTCAACAACAACTTGCACTTATATAGTGCCCTCCACGCAGGGTCATTTGTGACTTTGACAAGCGCTGTCTCTGTGCTGGGGCAGGGCGAAAACCAGACTGGAGGGAGAGGTGTGACCAAAGTTGACCTGCAATAATGCGTTCTTGGACTTTGGCAAGGAAGGGTAGGTTGGAAATGGGATGGTAGTGTGAGAGATTAGAGGGATGGAGGATGGGTTTTTTAAGGATGGGTGTGATAACTGGTTTTCAGGGGGAGTGGAACTGAGCCTGAGGAGAGAGATTGGTTGACAGTGTCGGCCAACGGGGGAGAGGAGGGGGAGTTGAGTGACCAGCAGCTGGGTGGGGAGGGGGTCGAGGCAGTTAACTTTAAAGTGGATGAACACTTTACACAATTCGTATGGAAACGAGGCACAGAGTTTAAGGTCAAACATAACACGGTTTAGGGCAAAAGTATTTTATTTAGAAAAGTGTACAATTGTAACATGACAGCTTAGAGCACATAGGCTCCCATTTACATTTCCATAAGTATGGTCTCAAACGGCTTTGGCAATCCACATTCCCCACTGCCCTATTTGCATTAGCAGAATGATTAGGCTCACAACAGAGAACCTCTCCACAAATGTGGGCCTCACACGTGCAGTTCCACAAAAGAGAAAGAGGGCAAATTTGCATCATTACATATATCGGTCATGCCGCAATTACTCAAAATCCCATGCTTCCATTTCAAAAAAGATAACTGGACTGAATCCCACAGTCCAGCAAAGGAGGGCAAGAACAAGTATGCTACTGAGTTTACACTGCAAAGATACTGCAATACCAAAGACCGAGGGTGTGGATATTTAAATATCGGTGTTAACACAAAGCAGTATAAACAGTCGGTACATTTGACAAGACCTCACGCATCTTAACTCACAAAATATTCAACCAATCCATTATAAATTAGTTAGTTGTCAAAGTGAGAGCTGTGGGAGTTAAATTGGTTGAAATATGTGGACTGCAACATTTCACATATACCCAAAATTGGTACTGTACAGAAAGCCTCTCTCCTAACCTTTTAAATCATCTGATCATGTTGATATTAAAGAACATAGTAGTCCCAATGTTAATGATAAGAGAAATCCACATTAAATCACAAGAGTGAAACCAGCAGCAGCTTTTGTGGCCAAATTCGTTGATCACAGGGTATAAAATGAGACTGCACTCATTGGTAAAAGGTGTAAACAGTGCCTTTGTAACGCCACAATTTTTTTCATTATTTTTATCTAGATGAAGTATTTAAATAAGTAAACTAACATCCAAAAGTTTGTGTCAGGAAGGATAGTTTTTTTAAATAAAAATACAACGGTATTGTATGGAACTTATAATTTTATATTTCTTAGGAACTCTGATGGTGACCTGCAAGTTTATTTTGCTTTTAGAATTGCCATCTATCCATTTGCTTCACTGGGCCAAATACATTATAGAAAATGTATCTAGGCAGGAACGAGAACCCCCTTGAATGGGGGGCACACACTTAAAGAGGGAGTCTTACAATCAGGATTCCTTTTGAAAACCAGTTGGAGAATTCTGAAAAACTTTCACATCCCAGTGTATTTGTTCTTTATTTTAAAAAAAAATAGCTTTGTATAAACTGTGTGCTGAAAACGTATGGTTGAGAATTGACAGGGAGGAGTTTCTGAGCTGAACCAATGTGTAGGAGCAAAGACAAGTCCTGAAATAAACCGATCTGGTCATCGCAACCTTCTACAGCTAATTCAGTTCCTCACAACATGGACTCAGTAGCTCCTCATAGCCAGGTTCCACTGAGCACAACAGACATGATATAAAATTAAAAAAATAGAAAGGCTGGAAAAATCCAAAGTAGAATTAGCTATTTTACAGTTATGATGTTTAAAACGGGTACTGATAGCGAGACACCCTCTTTAAAAAAACAACGTCCTTTTTAAAATAATCAACATCCATTTCATCATGGAACAAGTCCCACTCATCATTGGAATCTGAAAAGTTAAGAGGAACAACAGATGATTTGGGATGAATTACGAAGGTGCTTGTGGTCCTTTGTTGGCTTTAGACTCATGTTTATGGAAGTGGTCATATCACCCATAACCATTACATATTAGGTTCTGTGCCTGACTTATCTGTTACACGAGTTGTGAACCGAAACAGTTAGGTACTGCAAACTGCTTTAATCCTCTAGTGCACCACCAATAGACAAGTAAAAGCCTTTTATTTCGTAAGGAATAGCTATTTCTTTTTCGATGCACTACAGACAAGAACTCTGCTAACATCCAGAGTGAAACCACACCCAGAATGCCTGGCCTGTCCAAGACACATGGCACTGCCACAACACAGGTAAAGCTACTGTCTAAAAAAAAACAGAATAAGACAGTCCAAATCCCATCGTGCTATAGATCGAACTCATAATAATCAACATCCATTTCATCATGGAACAAGTCCCACTCATCATCGGAATCTGAAAAGTCATCATCAGGCCCATCAGCCAAAAGCATGAGCAACACTTCTCCAAGCTCAAAGGTGACCATTTCATCGTCTTCATAAGAATGTGCATTTTCTCTTTCTTCAATGAAATCCCAAAGACGTGTCCTCCGTTGGTTCTACAGCGAAATGGATGTAATTTTAAATAGAATTAAAAATACCTTCAATTAACAGCATTTCAGTGGGACTGATTCGATTTCTGAACTATTGCCAGTAACGAGAATGTTGATTCTTTGAAACAAACCACATTATAAAAATGAAATTTGATTTCATTTTCCCCAAGTCCTGACAAATATTTCAGCAGTGCAATCAATACCAACATTCGAAAGCACAGAATCTAGAAAGCACTCAAGTTTATTTTGATACTGGACAGGAATTTGAAGTGAGTAATACAATTAAAACGTTTCTCAACTATAGGATTATGTTGCTAGCAAATTGCTGCACTGATATCCAGCTTCTGACATAGGACCAAAGAGCACAGCATTATCCTTTCAACAAAATACCCGATTATTAATTCTAGAGAAATTTACAGGTAGTTTTTGAGTCAGTAAGGTGACACATTATACATTTGGTAATGTCTATATTTAAAAGGAAGACCAATGGAAAAAAATTACTTATCAACAAGACCGAGGCCCTCCTGATTGGCTCCCGTCAGTGCCTCCACAGCTCAGGCGCTGACAGCACCAACATCCAAGGATGCACACTCCACCTTACTAAGCTATTCCAGAACCTTGGCATCTTGTTTGACCCTCAACTATCCTTTCCACCCCGAATCCATGCCATGACCCGCTCTGCCTCCACCCCCTCTCCCAACATCACCTGGCTCTGCCACTATCTCACACTGCAGGTCACCAAGATCCCCATACGTGCATTCATTAACGTCCAGGCTTGGCTATGAAAACACCCTGCTTGTCAGCCTCCCCAACTCCTCCCTCCATCGGCTGCAGATCATTCAGGACTCTGCAGCCCCTGTCCTCACCCACACCAGGCTCTGTTACCTTATGATCCCCATCCTCGCCCGATTCCACTGGCTTCCCATCACACAGAGGACACAGTTCAAGATCCTGGTCCTCACCTTCAAAGCCCTTCATGGCCCTGCTCCCACCTACCTCTGCGACCTCCTAAACGCCTACCAACCTGCCCGCTCCCTCCGCTCAGCGGGCTCTGGCCTGCTTCTCGTCCCCCACCTCGCCCCCCCTTCCCCCCACCCCCCTCCCGTTCCCCCCCATTGGTGGGTCTTCAGCCACTCTGCCGCCACCCTCTGGAACTCCATCCCGCAGTCCCTCCGCCTCGACCCCCCTCCCTTGTCTTCTTCAAGATCCGTCTCAAGACCCTTCTCTTCGACCATGCCTTTGATCACCCTCCTTCCCCCCTGTCCTCCACCCTCCCCGATCCCGACCCCCATTTTGGGTCCAAAACACTGATTGCCCAGTGTCTTGGGATATCCTCCCGACATGAAATATACAAATATACAAATGTAACTTTGCTGTTGTTGTCGTCACGTTTGAGGAAAACAAAAGAAAGTGCTTCGGGGACACTGAAGTAACATATCATGGTTTGTGGATGAAAAGGAGATGGTATCCTTATTCAGAACGCCTTTATTGTTTATGATATTGTGATATGCTTACCCGATATCTGCCTGTTGATCCAATTGACCTCCTCTGTGGTTGTGGCTCTTCCAAACGACCGTCGGGGTACGCATGTTTGTAGAAGCAATTACCCCCAAAGGGACAAGTGCCACGTCCCTGATCAAAGTATCTGCATGCTTTAATACTGCAGAGCAAGAGATGAATTGAATAACTGACTAAAAATACAAAAAAGTCTCAAGTGTCTTGCAATAATGCTTCAGAAATTATTTGTTCCTGTTCTTAACCACTCCAATAATACTGTATCAACTTCAAGTCGAATTGTAATTGTAATTGGAACTCCTGATCATTTTTATTGCAATTATTGCGTTGTATTTGATTGAGAAATTTGGGAATTGATATAGCAAGTTTTAAAGATGGGGGAAAGAGAAGGTAAACAATATCAGAAAATCAGGCCACTCTGTCAAGTACAGCACTGGCTAAAAGTACTAACTGCATACATCAACAACTACACTATCAGCATGCCTCATCAACTTCGTGATTCGAAAATGCAATCTCTCCACTTCCTGACCATCTTTGCCAGAGCCCAATCCAAAGGATTACATAGTTTTGGTACTGCTGATTTGCAACCACAAAGAACTGGACTGAAACAACTTTAATTTATTTTGTTTAAACCCTGCACAGTTAACACAGAGAAAAGATATTCAACCTGTTCATCCAGACTCACCCAAACCTAGTCAAAAGAAAAGTGCTCCAGAAAACCAATGGCCCCAAACCAGAAAATTTTAAAAATGCGTTGGCAAATAAATTTGTAAAACAGATTTTTGCACCCACATAACAGCAACAGGAAAATGTCCCTCTTCCTTCCTGCCTCAGTGCTCCATTGTTTGACATGACATTTGCTAGTTCTCAGGAAACCCTTGCAATCAACATAAACTGTGTGCATTTTAGGAGGCCTCACCTCATCGCCTCTTTGTATTTCTGGATGAGTTTGTGTTTTTCTTCCTTGTCTTCTATCCAGTATTCACTTGGAATGACAAAATTTGATGTAATTCGACACTCGGGACAGGATCTGCAAAATTTAATTGAACACGCAGCTAAAATTAGAAGCATTGACAAGACATCTCATAGTTATAAAAACATGTTGGAAATTAGTTAATTTCACATACAGACAGCTGACCTGAGACTTGAAAATCAAAAACATCTAACAAAACAATTACCAATGTATTATGGTATATGAAAAGATTCTGCTCCATTTCAAGACTTTTCAGTTTACATATGTTCCAAAAGTTTGAAATACAGTACATTCAAATAAAGCTGAGCCATGCCAAAGGTATATTAACTGTAGATTTAGCATTTCATACCATCTTTTCTCTGTTCAAAGCATTATACAACATAAATGACTTAAATACCATCTACAAATTCAAAGGACCATTACCCAATAGTCTGTCATAGATGTCGAATTCTGACAATATGTGTGATGGAATGAAAATGTTAAAAGTTCTTCTCTGCAATGTTTAACACATGCTGAGTCAACCTCCATCATCATTGGCAATCTGCCTACATTTTTTGGAAAGGAATGATAAGGCATAGGTGGAGGTTAACAATGAGTAAACTCGGATGAATAATGGCTTTTCTTATTAAATCATCTGAATGTACATCTTTGATGTAAATTTATGTTGCTTTGCTACTTCAACAAATGTTTTACTCATGATAAACCCATTGAATTCACTTTCTATAATGCCCAAATCTCAACGGGATGTAACCACTGAACGTGTTTTACATGATCTGGTAGAACTGTCCATTTTAAAGTAAAGTGGCTCATTACTTTTACAAGCTATCGATTTTTATTGGTGCAAAAAAAAATTCAATGAGAAATTCACAAGTTGCCCTTTTCAAACCATACACTGTTAGCTCGCTTTTAAGTTTGCAGTTTGTGACAAAATCAAGTTGTGCTCGATCCACATTCCAATAAGATCTTCAGAACATTTTGTACCTCATAACGAATGCACTGCACTGAGTGTTCTATAAACAGCGCAGGATTCCAGACAACAGTAAACAAGATTTTGTTTTAAACGTTAGAAATACTACCAGGAACAAGGAGCACTAAATGTTCTGTCAGGCACTGCCATTTTGTGACCTTGTGGATTTTATCAGGTGGATCTGTGCACTGTTGTTACGTGAAACACCGACTTCATTCGTGTTGCACTTTCACACAGTTTAAACCAGGGGTGGACAATTATTTTGGCTGGCGGGCCACTTCACAAGTTTTGGTAAGCTTCGCGGGTCACACAATTAATATAGATGCAAATGCTTAATAATAGCTCAAAATCTAGCAATTAAAAATCGATGCTGTGACAAAAAGTAAGAAATGTAAGGGTCGCATTTAAAACTGATCCCTTCTGGGACTGAACGAGCTATAATTTTTTCTATTGCTAGACACAATGAAGAGCCGGAAGGAATAATTTGGCAGGCCGGATAAGGCCCACCTCTGGTTTAAACTTAATTCACAATGAATATGATTCACAGGTGAAATCCATAATTCAAGATGCATCATTATATGGACTCAGACAGCAGTAAAATCCACTACAGTAGCAGCAATAAATGCTATGAGCGGTTTCCATGTTGAAGTGAACAACAACAAATTTATATTTTGCCTTTCACTTTGGCAGGTCATTCCAAGGCACTGGACAGTCGAGGGTTTGCACCCGAGCTATGGGAGGACTGAGGGCCAAGGGGAGTAGAAGATGACCAAAGGCACGATCAAGGTCTTGAGATGGACCTTGAAGGAGACGAGGGAAGGGGCGAGGCAAAAGGACTCTGGGATGGAGCTCCAAAGTGAGGCAGTCTCTGGAACTCAAATGGTTACATTTTGTCACAGCGGAAAGCATGCCATTGCCTGCTGAGCAGAGGGCAGGGTTTTAGACAGTCACAGAGCTAAAGTGGGACAAGAATATGGAGGAATTTGAAAGCAAGGAAGAAGATCTTGAACTCTATCCTCCAGGGGACAGGAAACCAATGGAACCGGGCAAGGATGGAGTGATAGGCTTGGGGAGCCTAGTGCAGGACAGGACAAGAGCTGCAGAGGTCTGAACGGTCTGAACTTCTCTCTCTAGATGTTAAAACAAGTTTTATTGTATTCTTTCAAAACATACTAATTTGTAATACAAGTTTTTTCACTTGGGTTGATCACGTGAATTTTCTCCAAATGCTTACTGTATGCATGATCAAACCTTGCGTCTCAATAAATGTAAACACTACTAACAGTTATATATATATAGAACAGAGTTATCTCGATACATAAAGTGACTTAAAAGTAGAACCATCTTCACTGAAGACAAGTATTCAAAAAATGAATGCCTCCCTTACAAATTGTATCTCTTCAATGACAATTGCAGTGGGATGGTCAGATGGTGAAGCGACCTGATATAAAGCAATTCTAAATCATGGAATATTTGTAGAATGTGACTGCAGATATCGATATCTCCTTCATAATATTTCGGATTACAAAACAACTCTGCATATCTCCTCTTAAACACTAGAAATTTCTGCAGCTTTAACATTGGATTCTCAATTACTTCATCAGATGGATAACAAACTACATAGGTACAAATGAAGCTCTGCAGGACCTACCTAATCATCAAACATATCCAATAAAAACTGTCTTAACTGTGCACAATACTGGGGAGGGGAAGGAACCTAAAATAAGTGAAACAAGCACAATTAAATTCCACTGATCAGAGTAGAAATCCTGTCTCCTAAATATTCCCTGCAATATAAGAGAAAAAATAAGAACCAGCAAAGCGCATCTACTTTTTTCCTTCCTTCCCTGACTTCAGATCGTGCCTGAAGACATTCCTCTTCGACCTTTCCTACGGTCATCTCCCCTGCCTAGTGTCGTGCTCCGTCATTGTTAAGCAGTCTGGGACAATGTTTCACTGCTAAAAATTATGTTTTGGGATTGGTAAATCTCATTCAATGCACAAAAGCATCAGAATTGTATCTAAACTCAGAACTGAATCACATATGATGGTAAAACTTTATAATGGGTAGAAATGAAACATGGGCAAAATGTTTTAACTCCAATAAAACTAAGATACGCAGTCACTACACTTTACAGTAAATCCTGTAAAGCACTTTGAGATGTCCTCCTGATGTGAGAGACATAACAAACATAAAGATTATTAGAAATCCAAATATATATTTTAACTCATGTAATGCAACAATTTTCCATCCATACTACAGGATTTTTGTTGTTGGATAGATACACCACTCCACCATAATGTTTCATAATTACATAAAATATCTGGATGTTACTTAATTCTTGCACCAAAACACTGCCGTTCAAGAAAACTGCACATTTTAAATTCATTCCCTGATAATTTATGTCAAAAATGCAATGAAATACAACAACCAAATGGTTATATTTTCTCACAGTGGATAGATAACTGCATCCTCACGACATAAGGCATCAATCACCATTACGTTGAATTGCAGTCAAATTAGTTATTTCTCCCTGATATCTCAGTGAATCAACAGATTGCAATACCAAGCTCAAGCATGTTTTGAAAAAAACATGAGAAATGCAGTGCCTTCAACACAGTTGACCATACCATCCTTCACCATGGTTCCTCCCTGATCCATGTGTACAGCACCTCCTTTCTTTCTCACTGTCTCCTTAAATGCCTTCTCCGCTTGCCCACAAATGGTCACGTTCTGTGTTCGTCAAGAGCTCTAGTTTTCTTCGTCCTCATGCTGCTCCTTGATGATATCATGCACAGGCATGAGTCCCACTTCTACATGTATGAGGATAACCCCCAACTCTCTCCCTGCCTCCGCCATCACTGGCTCCCTGCTCCCCTATAGATTGATTTCAAAATCCTCATTCTAATCTTCAAATGCCTCTACGGCCTTCACAGAGGCAAGGTAGGCAAGCCTGTAGAGGTGTTAGAAAGTTAATTCTGCAGTTTCAATCCCTCTTTCATTTTATCCAGCCTGTTAAAGATTCCTGGCCCTCCATCCACATCAATAACAAGAACATTTTCCACCACTTTGCTAAATTCTTGCCCGTTTGCGTCTTTACTCACGTCACTCCTACCTGCCATCTGTCACACTGCTTACCATGCCTGTAAAACGCTTTACTGCGTTCTAAGACGGGTACCCTTCGAGAAGGGCACAAAATAAATTCAACTTGTTGTTGCTGTCACTGTCCCGTGTGACGGAGAGAATCATTTTCAATGAAAAGTACTCACCTTTCGAGATTTGTAATTCTTTTACTCTTAAGGATCTATTGCACTGCTTCCCTAAAGAGTCCAAATATTTCATTCAGGTGGAGCCATTGATTTTTGGATAACATTGTTTCTTCCAAAACAAGTCATGGAAAGCAGTATATCTAACACAGCCAAGTGCGAATCGGATTAAGCCTCAGATGCTTTTCATAAACCTACACAACACTGACCGAATCCGCTGGCAACGGCAAGTAAAGGGTAGCAAAAAGAGACAAAGATTCAACAAATATTTCTGACTCAGCATTTTTTAAAGGTTGAATGTTTTCCTGCAATCAGTGCAGGATAAGTAATCTCTGTGGTCACAAAGACAATGGCTTTACATCATTACAAATTAAACCTTCCCCTTCAAAGGAGAGAAACATGGGTTAGCTTTATGCTTTGTATAAAAACATGAATAAGAAATGTCTCAACTTTCATTACCGGATTTGGGGACTTACTTGACAATTTTGTTCTCAAACTGCTTAGCACTCCTCCATTTTCGAATGCAATTGAGGCAGTAGGTGTGACAGCAGTTGGAGAGAATTCCAAAACGTCGCTCACTTGCGTTTACTTTCTCATAGATTATTTCCATACAAATGCCACATATAATATCCTTACTTCGTTGGATTGCAAAAGATAACTCCATATCCTTTTCATGAGCTTCAATACAAGCCTAGAATTTAAAAATCAAAAGCACAAGTTACAAGATTGTCATTTATTCTAATGATTCCATTTAAAAAAACCTGAACATTCGTTAATAATATAATAACCCTTGCATTTGATATAGGGCCTTATCACATCTTCAAGACGTCTTAAAGCGCTTCACAGAACATACCGTAAAGTGAATTGACTGTGTATTTTGTGGGCGAAATGCGGCAGCCAATTGTGCACAGCAGTGTCCCACAAACAGTCCTGAACTGAGCGACCAATTTATATTTTTCAGTCAAATATTTTAAATATTACACCAGCACAATGCTGCTGGGGAATATTGAATTGTTCAAATTGTTCCAACTTGAAAACAAAAGGCAATTGTGAAAACTACCAAAATAATTTTAACAGGCAGTAAATCTAACACTTGGTCTCCAAAACTAAGGTCATAATTCAACAGAAACCCAGATTCAATGGTTCTGTATCATCACCAAGTTCAGTTCATAAAAGGCTCACTTGTTGGGAGGGCTAGATGGAACATGGCCCAGTGCCTTTGGATGTTCTCCCAACGTGAAAGGCGCTATACAAATGTAATTTTACATTGTATTGCATGTGCTAACTGTATGGAAATCCAACCTGCCATTCATTTGTCATGAAGGGAAAGGCATGGGCAAAGCATTCTCCATTTATGCAACAGAGTATGACCTATCAGCACATCATCCTGAGTAACTCTTGGTCTCCAAGGAAACCAGAAGCTTCAACCTACAGCATGGAAATGGAGCTTACAAAAGATGACAACCCTGTGGATGGTATCTTTACCAATGAATACCTCTGCAGGATTGCATCTGTAGCAACTCTCCCTGTTTACAGCCAGTATTTGGGTGTTAGCTTGCAAGATGTAAAGCAAAGAACAATTTCGCAAAGATAGTCAGCTAACGTGTTTATGGGGCGCACTTTCTAAAAATATTATGTACTGTGAATATAAACTGAAGGATTGATATTTTAATTGTATTGAGCTCAAATTTGACACTTTCTAGAGCACAATGTTTGCAAATCAAACACAAGTTGGAGCAGCATTTTCACAAGTCAAAAACCCTGTGACTTGCTGGGTCTGTAGTTGTGAATTAGGCAAGATGGCCATTTGCTCACATGCAAGTAAATTCCAACAGTACGTAATTAAACAAACCTTGTTTGTTTCCCAGATTCAATAGAAATACACAGGGATAAAAATCTATCAATCTATAGGATCTAAAAAGACATAAGTCATATTCTTTATGTAACCACAACTTTAGAAAAGAAAATACAGCAGAGAACTTTCAATGCAAGTACACACCTTCCTATTAAACTTGCATTATGTGCTTCTTGAAATCTACTTTGCTAAAAATCATTGTTCAAAGTCAAAAGGTAATACTGACCCCATTACATTCAACAGATGCAACAATGTTCTGCATAGTTTTACTATTTACCTTTATGTGGTCTGATCTCTGAGAAGCATCAGTTGGATGAAGAACCTGCAAGCCACACATATCACACATATCCCCATGGAGGTATACACAGTTTACACCGTAACGACATTCTCCTAAAGTTGCATACGGACAGAGTTGTTTCTTCGTATCTTCATCACTTTGAGGGGTCTCACATTTCTCATCTATCATTAAACCTTCCATTCTTGCTTCAAGGTAAGATGACATTGCTGGAAGAAGAATTTCAAAATAATTTTACAATTTAAATACCTACAAAGAGCTAACCATTGTTGGACTGTGTACCTATAGCTTACTACAAACCTATTTGCTAGGATATCCAGACTGCAATCAAAGATTGATCAAAGCAGCATGATCCACCTAGCAAATATAAATTGATTATTTTTTTTTGGGGGGGGGGGGGGGCGGAGGAGAGAGGGAGGAGGAAGAGGAGAGATGCCATTTTAAGACAAATCATGGGGAGGTAGTTAGTGGAGACAAAGTGTTTGACACAGGTAGCGAAAGGTAGGAAAATATCAGGAAGATAACTCACTTCAGACCACTACTATGCACCACCCAGGAACTGGCAAAAGTGGCAGAGGTGAAGCAGTGGTTTCTGGGAGGGATGAGGAGTGGAAGGAATAATTCAATTTAAAACATTTAATGGAGCATTTTACATAACAAGCAAGAAACCAGAAATCAATGTAGGGCAATTATTTTAGATCTGTGTCAGAACTAAACGTAGAATTTTAGTAACTGAAGAAGTTGCTCACACGTATAAACGTAATGTGTGTTCAAGTTTATATTTCTTTTCCAAGCATAGTAGTAAAATTATCAGGATACATCTACACTACAATACACCAGGTAACAAGTTAACAATTCACTCACATCTGGTATTGTATGGATTCATACAAGTCTCACTGTCAACTCCTCTAAGCAAAATAAACAGCAGGCAAACAGTTGGGAATAATCGTGTATGGCTTATACATTACTACTGTCCATGTGTGTCAGGACTGGAGAATTTCAGTTAGAACAAGCCAGAGTTGCTTTGTTTTTCAGCTCGAGAAAGCTGGAAGATAACTCGCCAGCTTGTAATCTTTAGTATGTTTATCTCATTTTCAGTCCTTCATTGTTTCCTTCCTTCTTGCTGGATCAAATCTCAAGTGTCCTGTTGAGGCTCCTTCCTCCACCCAAACTAGCTCCTCATCAATACCAAAAGGATGCAACTTTAGGTCTTTAAAATATATTCACTTCTTCAGTTTAAAATTCAAGAAAATGTGTTTTTAATGAATGAAAAGTTATGCTAGGCGACTTACAAAAAAAAATCAAATTTTCCAAGTGAAGCACAACTTCTTGATATTTTTCCAATGTTGCTGCAAAACAGGTGTTCATTCTGTCAAGCAATTGTAGCAAAGTACTTCTTAAGAGCAGAACAGGTTGTTTTGGAGATAGAGGAGCCGGTATTCAATTTACACAAGTCTCAAAATGGAATACAAGCCATTATATCTCTTGCACTAATCTCAGCTTTAAGCCGTCCACACCACACAACTGTTACCTCTCCCAACCAGAAGATATTGCCATCTTTTGCAGAAGTTTTTGCTCAACTGACAGGGCATAAGCAGCTCCTCCAAGTTGAACTATTTGCAAAATTAGTCTCAGAATGTCTCCTGTGCAGTCATCAGCCTAATGTCCAGGGCAGATCTCCATTCTGGAGGCCATTTATTGTAATTTTTTTTCACATACAGAATTGCTCAATTCATATTCAGATAGGCTACTTACACTTTTTTTGTAAAATAATACTTATTCTTTAGATCATCAATGAAATAACATCTGTGTGAACGTATGCCTGAAACCTCATGGCGTTTTAAATATATATGTATTAAAATGGTGCAAAAAATGTAGATTTATTAAAATGATAGTAAAGGATCCAAATTTCTGGATTCATTTCTGAAAATTGCAGGTACTGGTCGCTAATTTTTAAACGAATAAATGAACGTCACAATTCACTGATTAACTAGACATTCAGTCTCTCTACAATCACTTTTAACAAAAAGTTTCAATTTTAATTATACTGTTTGGACCAAAAAAACAGAGCTAAATAGAATCCAAGGCATTGAAGATAAAAATTTAATCACTGGAATTAAGAATGAAAATGTTTTAATTTTTTGAAAAACATACTCACAAAACACTTCAATAATAATATTTCTATAACCTGTGAATATCAAACTGATTACTTTCAACAATCCAATGCATATAAAAAGTTATGATTTTTTTTCTTGAGTATCATCAGGTATAATTTAGAAAGAATATGGAAGCAGTGTTTTCAACAGTGATTGTATTTGCTGTAGATGCTGAATACAAAATATCTCAGACCGCATACATTCACATTTTTTGCAGAGAAAATGCTATCAATCTTTACAAAATTAAATATAAGTGGTCAAATGTAGTTGTGTGAGCACTCTTGCCGCATAGCATTATACATCATAAACCTCCCAGCTTTGGAGAACGATTTGATGATAAATATCTCATCCATTGAGCCCTGTAGTCTGCCACTTGGTATCCAGGAGTGGAGAATCTTCTGGCCACCAGTTTTTCTTAGCTGTCCCATTTCCACACAGGAAACTATTTTAAAGTTTTGAACATTTTTAAAGTTTGGAATCTGTGCTTGGTGAGTTAAGAGAACTCTCTGCTGCTGCAGCAAATACTCCCACTTGTAATAGTGCCATATTAATTTGCTTTACGGGGCCCAACAGTACAAGCAAGAGTGCCTCTGTGCATTGTTTTCTACACGAGCTGGTCCTGTACTGTCATAAGAGCTTCACTTGATCTTGGCCCAGATAAATGCACAAAAAGTTTGGAAAACACACATTGTATCAAACGACATCCAAGTAGTGTCTCTGTCCTTCAACAGCCCATTAAGTCATCTATGGACATAGGCAGTGAGTGGCTCGGGCTAGAAGGGGCTCAACCCCCCCATCCAGCTTTTTTTCAGTTTTGATTAATGAGAGGTTGAGGCTGGAGAGAGGTACTGCTCTCCGTGATGTGTTACGAAACATGAAGAGAGTAGCAGCGGTCAATGAGTTGATTGAGCCAGGACACACATGCAAGCATACGCACAAACTCTTCAGCGAATCGGGGTCAGGATATACGAGGAGAAAATGTCTCAGCTCAGCGCACCTGCGCCCCTCACCACCAAAGAATATTTTCACCTGCAGCCAATGCCTGTGGGTTTATAATGTACCTTCTCAACTGCAAATCATATAACAATAATAATTCTTGCATCTGGTATCATGCCTTACCACATCATCGAGGTGTCTCAAAGGGCTTCACAGCATATATTATAAAGTAGATTGACTGTGTATTTTGTGGGTGAATGCAGCAGCACAACAATGTCCCACAAATAGCCATGGAGTGAGCGACCAATATTATTTGGGGGATTGTTGGCCAAGACACCAGGAGAAACTCCCTTCTCTTTTTCAATAGTGCCATGGGATCTTTAATGTCCACTTGAACAGGCGGACAGGAATTTGGTTTAAAGTCTCCTCCGAAGGAAGGCACCTCTGACAATACAATACACCCCAAGTGCTGCATTGGAGTGTCTGCTTAGACGATGTGATTCCAAGTCCCGACGTGGGGCTTGAAGCCACAACCTTCTGACTCAGAGGTGAGAGTGTTACCACTGTTCCAGGCTAAATTTATCCAAATAAAACAGTGTTTCAAGATTGTAGCAGGCCAAATCTGGCAGTGCAGATGACAGAATGAGTAATGAAGAACTTGACTACTTGTAATAATACCTAATTAAGCTAAATTAGGAGAGAATTCCAAATGAAATAATGCGAGAACACACACACACACAATGCACACACACACACACGCGCTGTTTTAAAATAAGAGATACCATAATTAATAGTTTAATGCCCAGTTTATTCCAGTTACAAGACACAGATTACAACTTTCCCATATGAGATTTAATCCTGGATTATTGTTTTTCATTGTGTACCCTTCATAATGATAGAAAAGTTGTAGCAAATCCACATTACAGGTTTAAAGTCTCTGCAACAATATGGAAGCGAAAAGACTGCTGACATAGTTCCACCATTTGTGATGTATCATTCAACTAGATATTTAACATCTTTTAGCAATGTGATAAAAGAGGATTCTGGAGACTGCCCCATTAATAATACCACACAATTTACAAAATTCAAATGAAACAATAGATGTTTAGGATTTTGCAGAGATAAAGATGTACTGGGCTCACATTTCAGATCAGCTACTGACTGCACTCTTGTTTCGGGGGCTGATCCAAAATGAAAGACTGTCTAATTTGAGACACTGGCAGTTGGACCACTTATGCCACTGGATGCCTCTTCTACCATCAGTGCTGCTTCTCGATTCCTAACAAATACACACTCACATATTCAGGTCTCTTGCTATAAAAAAACAAATCATGTCTCATCTCAACCGTTTTGTCCAATACACTAAGTGAAGTTTTAACATATTAAATTCCAGATTTACTACAATCACTTATTATCAAACTCTTTCCAATGTATCAATATCTTTTTGAGGCTAGATTGCTCATAATTGGAAAAGATATTCTAAATATGTTAACAAAGCAATTTGTTTCAAATCAAAAGCTCTTGAGAAATACTAAATTAGCCTTAAGAGCTTCAGTGAAAGTGCATGGTTAATCATGCACAACAACTTTACCCTTTAGTTAAGGATACATCCATTCATTTCTAAAGTGCACTGCATGCATACATTTATCTATACTCAGTCCACCAGTTAAATTGTCCAGTTCCATTAAGTGCTATTGTTTACCTTGTACCATCTGCTTTCGATTTACATGCCAGTTTTCCAACTACTGGGACACTTTGCCACTAATCACAGTTAATTTGTGGTCAATATAAAACCCTTCTAACTCCCAATAAGGCCAAGAGCAATATGTGTTATCCAGTGCAGTTTAATTGATGCTTGATACAAACTACTACTATTCAGCATTCTTGCCAAGCAACTAATGGCATTCCCTGGAAACTGTAAACCAATTGAGGTAATTGTTGAACAGTTGAGCAAAATTTACAATAAATTATTTCTGGTCAATTGGTCAGGTCATCAAGCTCCCAGCACATAAATGGCTGAAAGCAGTACAACAAACTAAAGATTACACATGGTAAATAGTAAAAAGTAGAATCAAAATCAATAGAGACTTCTGGCTAAGTATCAGTTGTGACTATAT